TCTACTGACTTGTTAATCACTTTATAAAATTATGCAGATTTTTTTACAAAATGTTTGTTGTATCTAGAACTAGCAGACATCTAGCAAACAGTCGCTGATTATTGACTGTTTTGTTACGTGAGAAATTTCGGCACAGTGGAATCCGATGTGCTTTCGTCTAAATTGAGCGTTTGAGTACAAATATGTATTGTATGCATTTGCTTTGTTTATAGTAGAGATGTTTCTATGTTCAAAAAAAGGTGCTTTTTAGACATTCCGTATACACATAAATGTAATATTCGGTTTATATGCGCTTCTAATAGAGCAAAAACAGTATTTATAAAATGAACGTACATGTACAGTAATTTGTGACACAATGCTATCAACCTGTCATACTAGGTCTTCTGAGTTCTATGAAATAATTAGCTTTCCGATGAATTGAAATCAGAGACTTTGTTAGCACACACAGACTTGTGACTAGCGCAGTAAAAGTCATCTAAAATGTGTACATATAGACGCTGAGTAACATTTGCAATTACACAAACCTTGTCAGTCAAATGCTTTTATTTGTAAAAGCTGGAGCCATTTTGAATAAAAAAAAGACACACATAAATTAAACATAGCGTACTATCAAAGAAAAACATAGGTATATTGGCATTGCAAAAATCCGATTAAAAAAATCGTTACCATTTTTTGGGCTATATATAAGATATGTATCTACAATATACCACATGTTGGTAAGCACAAAAAAAATAAATTGCATTTAGTGTATTTTTGGATTATTAAAATATAACTTATTTTGACAGATGTTATATATATATTAGTCTATGCACTACTAATAGAGTAAATATGGTGTATCTCGGTGTAAGTTTTGGAAAGTTGAACATTTCACACTATTAACAACCAGATATCTGAGGATTATTAAATTGTCTGTGTTCTCTCTCCAGGAATTTGTAAATTAGCTGAAATGCAAGGACTTGAACACACTTGTCATGTAACTTATTTTGGAAATGACCATATTGCCCGGGGG